CAGACTGGCGCCCAGAAACTTCCTTCCTTCCAGCCTCGGCATCCAGAAGGAGGCTCCCGAGGCAGCGGGAAGCTGATGGCTGCCCTCCTGCCTGCCTCCTCAGCCACCTTCTCCTGGAAGCCCCCCGCCACGGGGTCAGAGTCGGCCACACAGGCCCACTGCTTGTTGGAGCAGGAAGGGGAGCTCCTGGGAGCACCGGGGCTCGGGGGCAAAGGGCCCCCCCACTGCCGGAGCCTCCCTCCCCAGGAACGACAACCTGGGGTCGTGGTGCCCCGAGGGCTGAGCCGCACACCCCTGGGACCACCCTGCAGCCCATCTAGGTAGGATCCCTCGGGCCTCACATCCATCCGGGAAGAAGGAAGAGCTCGGCAATATGGACACACACCCGGCTCAGGAACCCGGGGGCTTAGCCGGGCAGCCCTTGGGCCCCAGAAGCAGTTCCCTCCAAGTTCCAAAATCCACGCAGATCACTCTGGGAGGCGCCTGCCCGTGCAGCTGACGATGGCGGAGCACCTCCCTTCCCAGAGCCCGTACCCAGCAGGCGATCGGTAAATGCACGCTCCGGCTCAGAAACCGCACAGCAGTGGGCCTGTGTCCATGCCCAAACGGCAGTAACAGGAATGCATTTCGGCCGAAATGAAAATGGATGGTGGCTTTTCATTTATTTATGTGCTTCTTTAACAAATTTAGCCTCCTGCCCCTGGTCCTGAGCCAGAACACGTTGCAGTCTCCCATTCTTCATCCCTCCGCCATCTCCTCCCAGGAACACTTGTACTCTTCAATACTTAATAACTGAAGGAAGCCGCCATAAACCTGGGCTATTTCCTCCTCTCCGAGAAGAATAACAGTCTGCTTTTGGAGAGAGAGCACTACAGATAATTGAATGGAACTTTAACACAGACCCCTCAGATGCTTTACGGATGGCGGGGGGCCAGGCTCTGCGTGGTGGAACGTCCACAGCCACCCGCCCACTTGGGGCTGAGTCAGGAGCCAGAAGCCTGGGGCCAGCTCTGAGCAAAGCTCCCCGCCACCACCGCCCCCTGCAGACCCACGCCAGGGTGGCCTGCCCAGCACACAGGTGCAGGCGCAGAGGCACCAAGAAACACCTCTGTGGGTTCACAGGGCGCCGACATCCTTTCTTCCATGCTGTGCTCCCTGGGTACCGGGACGGAAGAGACAGCAGGCAGGGACAGGCTCTGCGCAGACTCAGCTCTGACCGGGTTTCCCTGCAACACCTCCCTCCGAGCACCGAGCTCTGATTAGGGCCTCACGTTAGATGCTCAGGGCAGAGGAAGAAGTGCAGCCCACGCACTCCAGACCTCCTGCTGAGAACCACCTGTAGCTACGTAAGAGGCTGGAGGGATGCAGTTGCCACCTGTAAGCACGTAACAAGGAGCAGGGAGCAGGCGGGTTACCCGACCACAGCCACAGGGCCGACCCGCGTGGGACACGGAAGAGCGCTGAGAACCATCTGGAGGGACCTCCAGGATGTGACCTCAGTGTGGAGAAAGTGAAAACATGCCAACATTTATCTAAGGGGTGGTTGGTTGTTGTTTAGTCACTAAGTCGTGTACAGCTCTCTGCAACCCCATGGACTGCAGCCTGTCACGCTCCTCTCTCCACGGGATTCTCCAGGCAAGAATACTGGAGTGGGTTACCATTTCCTTCTGCAGGGGATCTTCCCTACCCAGGGACTGAACCTGTGTCTGCTGCTTGGCAGGCAGACTGTTTACCACTGAGCCACCGGGGAAGCCCATCTAAGGGGTACAAATACGGACATGTTTGCTTTTATAAAAATCCGATGGAAGGATGAACTGTACAGTTAGAAGATGACTGGTTATCTGCCCAGGAAGAGAGGGACTGAGGGGCCCCGGGAGAGACAACTGACGTCTCTGACCACACCCTGACTCTGGAAACATGGAGAGTTCAGACAACCGCAGTAGTGGATCTAATTCTAGAATGAACTAGGCAGTGTGCGTGTGGGGACAAAATGACATCCCAGACCTCCTGGTCAGATGTGCTGAGAACACTCTGACCTCAGCCTCATCCTGAGGAAACACCAGACAAACCCAGCCCATGGTGGGGCCATCTGAGCACCAGGGAGAGGTACCACAGCGATCAAGACTTGTGACTATGTTTATAAGTCCCCGATCTCATGAGGACACCAAAACCCCAGGCAAAAGCCCAAGATGCTCTCAGTAGAGAATCAACTCGCTGCTTTGAAAGCTGGAATGTCAAGCACATCTCCTGCCTCTCCATACGAACTATGACTCGGGGAACCAAAGAGTTAAGTTTCCAGCAACATGTTGGTTAACAAATGAAGAAAGAAATGTCAGAAGTCGAGAATTACCATCTGCAACCTCTAATGAGATGATACACGGAAGCCATAATGACAACCGGGTCATGATGCAGAAGAGAAATGGCCTCAGGGAAGCACACACCGTCCACCACCCCCACCCAGGAGGGGCCTTCTGCAAGATCACCCCCATCCCACCACCACCAAGGGACGGAAAACACGCCGGCTCACATGTTGGGACCGTGGGGATGCCCTGAGCAAGGTCCAGGGTGGGCAACATCCACCCACCAACCACAACTTACAGACCTCTTTGTGATTTCAGAGACTTGCCCTAAAAATGACCAGACAACTGGGGAAGTTTGAGCCTCAGTTTGTATCTGATGCTATTCAAGAAAATCTTGATTTTTCACTTTACTAGACTGTGCTTAGTCACTCAGTCATGTCCAACTCTTTGCGACCCCATGGACCGTAGCCCACCAGGCTCCTCTGTCCGTGGGGATTCTCCAGGCAAGAATACTGGAGTGGGTTGCCATGCCCTCCTCCAGGGGACCTTCCCGACCCAGGGGTCAAACCCAGGATCCCACACTGCAGGCGGATTCTTTAGTGTCTGCACCACCAGGGAAGCTCTAACTTGTTTGAAAACATAATCAGGGTTTTCCCTGGCAGTCCAGTTAGGACTCTGCACACCCACTGCAAGGGGCGCGGGTTTGGTCCCTGGATGGGAACTGAGACCCGGCACACCGCGCCCCGCAGCCACTGATCCCCCGTGCTCCAGAGCCTGTTCTCCAAGCCGAGACGCCACTGCAGCAAGACCCCCACGCAGCGCAGCTAGAGAGGCCCCCGCTCCCCACAACTCGAGAAAGCCCACGCATAGCAGCAAGTACCCAGTGCAGACAATTACTTTTAAAAACGCCCACCGTCGTTACCCCAGGCCGCCAAAGGGGAGCCCTGCACTGCTGTGACATGAGCTGCCCGGCATTCCACTCTGCTGATAAAACACTCAGGACGGAGCGCAAGGACAGGCCCGGGCAACGCCGACCCGGGGCCAGGCGGCCTCTTCTCTCCTCCGCTCTTCAGCCCCACATGGGCCTCCCTGGGGGTCACAGCCGTCCTGCTCCCGCCTCTCTGATGGACGCTTGCTGCCCACCCACCCTGCCTGGTAACCCCCTCTCCGGGAGGCCTCCCGCCGCCCCTCCCCAGCAGGGGTGGGGGCTCCCTGTCGGACGCTCACAGACCTGTCCCTGCCCGAGAGCACTGGGCCCAGCTGGTTCCTCCGCTGGATCCACGAAAGGCAACTGCACGAAGCATCGCCCACAGGTGCTCCCCGGGCCACGCAGCACGGCCACCACACGGCAGGCCCGCTCCGCTCTGCAGAGACAGCCTGGCTGCCCCTCCATCTGTGTGGCCACCCCGGGGGAGCTCAGCAGGGACCGCGGTCACAGGGATAAGACCGCACGAGGCGGGCCCCTCTCGGTCCACAGCACCTGCGGACCCCGCCTGGCCCCGTCTCCCCGGCCCCTCCTTCAGGACTCCCGGGGAGACCGAGTGCTCAGACCCGGGGCTCAGACGCTGTGGGTGGGCGAGCACGGACCGGCAGGGTGCAGGCAGGCACACACACGGAGTCCAGGCCCTGTACACACGTGTGTGCACACACATGCGTGCCCAGGGAGGCACCGACCAGGGAGAGGGGCCTGGGGGAAGACGGGGCGGGGGCACCTGGCCGGTGGGACAGTGCCCGGAGAGGCAGTGAGGGCCATGTGGCCCACCTCCTGGGAGAAGGCGGGCCCAGCCCCCGCCGGCTTCCCACCAGGGCGTGTGCCAGCCAGCGGTCCCACACGCTGCATGGGCAACCATGGCTGGAGCTCAGACCACGCTGAGCTCACACACAAGGGAGACACAGGGAGAGAACACGCGTGGGGACAGAGGGTGAGGGCACTGCCTGCCTGGTCCCACCCGTCAGCGGGGGACCCCGGGAGGAGGGAGGCGCCTTGCCCTGCACCCTCCCTCCGGGGCCCAGGCAGCTCTGCCCGTGGCTCAGACATGACTGGCTCTAGGCACACGGGCCAAGCTGATTCCCTCTCCCTCTGTGGTTCTCCCCCTAGAAGCATCAGCCCCACACCGGTGTCAGCCGTGAAAACAGCCTGCCACGTGCGTGGGCTTCACGGTGAGTCTGCCTGGATTAACCTCCTTACTAGTCAGAGGGCTTAAGCCACCAGCAGGGCCACTTTTCTCAGCTCTGGAGCCTCTGTTCCCTGGTCTGTAAAGGAGGAGGACAGAGGGGTGGAGAGGGGACCAGACACAACACATCACACGGGGTCAGCTCTGCAAGGAGGCCCTTCCGGAACCACCTTTACTGTCATCACTACCCAGAGGCCAAAACCCCCGGATACCCAGGCCCACCCGCTCCTCGGTGAGCAGGAAATTTCAGATCCCCTCCAAAACCTCTGCTGGATTTTGATTAACCACAACAGTGCACCAGACTGTCTGAAATGCTGAGAATTTCCGGGGACATGTTACTCCTTCCTCGTGTCTGTCTCAGAAAGTAAAGATACCGCAGCCGTGCAGACGGGATTCAGACTCGGGAGGTGAGGGCCTGCCCCCACCGCTAGCCTGGCAGCCCCCACCGTGACCCGTGTGACCCGGCTGCGCCCCTGCAAGACTGTCCTCTCTGCCCCCCACCCCCCACCCCTCCACCGGTACTCACGTAAAAAGTGTTTTTCCAATAAGGCGATTTCCAGGTGACCTTTGACCTCATTCAAGCGGTCGAACTCTGTCCGGTTGAAGTCCTGGACCCCTGCAGCCATGATGAGGGTCCCTGGACCAGCCTAGAAGGAAAACGCCAGGAAGGCGCTCAGAGGCGCCTGGAAGCACCCTGGGTCCACGTCACCTGGTTCTCTCAGCGCCTGGTACCTCGGGGTACCCCGAGGACCCCGCAGTCTGGAAAGGCCGGCTCCCAGAGCCCCCCTGGCCTAGGAAGGCACCGGCCCGGCATTAGGACCTGCTTCAGTTCACCTCGGTTTCATCCGCCAGGGAAGGGACATCTCGGGCAAAGCGGACATCCTCGGAGCCCTGGCGAGACCAACGTCCAGAAATGACCACAAGCGTGACGCTGAGCCTCCGGATGGGCCACAGCACAGCTCTCAGACCACAGAGGGAAGGAGCTTGGGGAGACCTGCCCCGGCCTGTGTGCTGACTTCCCAGGAGAGCGGCCTGGCCACAGGGCCTGGTGTCCTGCCCGGGGAGCCCGGCTGGCGCCCAGGGAGCCGCAGCAACAGGACTCCAGGGAGGGTGCGTCCATGTGCCGGGTTCCGGGGGAGCCAATTCCAAACAGGGCCCTGTCCTGGCCCATGGTGGCTAATTAAAGCCACCCCCCACTGTCCCGCCTGACTCAGGGCAGGCCCGGCTACAGGCCGCCGCTGCCTGCTGACGTGGGGCACATGTATCAGCATGGCCAGGCCATGTCCTGGAAACTCCCCTGGTCACCCCACAACTGCACCCCGCCACGCAACAGGGCCATCTGACTCCGGGCCCCTCCCAAATTGGGGTAAGGAAGGAAGGGGACACTCAGCCTGGACAGGGCCCGTGACCGGCTCCGCGGGTGGTCGTCTCGCCCGGGGCCACGGCCCTGGAGGGGGACGCGGACACTGAGACTCTGGCCCGGGGCCGCCCTGTCCGGGCCCCGGGCCCGCTGGGCTGTCAGCTGCTCCGGCTGCCGCAGCAAGAGCTCCCGGATGGCAGGGACAGGCCGGGCTTATCTGCCTGCCCGTGGGCCTGGCAGGGGCAGGCACAGCAGGGCTGGGCAACAAGCGAAAGACAGGGTGCCCCCGGCCTGCTCACCCACTCGCCTCGCAGACGACGGTGCCCCTCCTCCCCTGCCCAGCCCCGGCCTCGGGGGACAAGGTGGTGGCCCCGGGGCAGAGAGCAGAGGCCGGCCAGGGAAGGTGGCCCAACAGGGATCCATCTCGTCAGCAACGTCCCCACCCAGGTGGGCAGGGTGGCCCGTGGCTCATGGCCCCGAGTGACAACCTGTGAGCCCACGTCCTTGGAAGGCTGAAATGCAGGTCGGTCTCCAAGCAGCTGGAACTAAGCCCGTTTGGAACTTGTCCCGGAGCTTTCAGCTCCCTTCCAGGGGCCCCAGGTCTGATAGAGGCTGGGATCACATGGCTGTGGCCGGCTCGGAGCCGAGGCCCCGCAGGGGACGGCAGAGGTCACGGGGCATGTCCGCAGTAGGCGCTGGTCACTTCCACCAGGACACACGACCTGCCCTCACGGCAGCGGTGGTGCAGGCCACATGGGCATGAGGCTTGCAGCAGTGACCCAGCGTCCCGGGGCAGAAGTGACAAGAAGGACAGCATGACCCGCTGTAGGACGCTGGCCTGTCCCCCCCAAGGAGAGAGAGACAGAGAGAGCCCCCCGGGACTGGGGATGCGGGCTGGAGAGTCATTCATACTCACAGCCCTGGACTCGCCCCGCCCTGGGCCCTCACCGGCCGGCTGGTCCCACCTCCACAGGAGGCGCCCCCTTCCCAGGACAGGCCTGTGACCCCCACAGCGTCCCACCCAGCAGATGCTGCCGGCCTCCAGGAGACACAGCAGTGAGGTCCCAGCCCACCCCTGACCCGGGGTCGGGAGGTCAGCTGCCCGCTCTGCGGGGGACAGAGGCCATGCCCAGGCAGTGCTCCGCAGCTTCAGCCCGCCTGATCGGATGCCGGCTCTTAAGAGGCAGTGCCGATAAATTATTCACTGCCGCCAGAAGCGAGCGAGCCCGTCCCTGTTCTATTACGAAGCATTAATAATACACAGGGCCAGGCGGGCGGGCGCTCGCGGCCACACCTGCAAGGAAAGCCTAGCTCAGGTGCTCAGGCAGGAACCGCAAGGCCACCAACCCTGGGGTCCACGTGGGCGCGGTTGTCCACAGCTGGTGAGGCAGGGGGACTCCGGGCTTCTTCGCTGACGACAGGGAGCTGAGGGCAACTGTCCCCACAGCGGGGAGCCAGCTGTCACCCCTGGCCGGGAGGGGACCCGGGCAGCCTGCCCCACCAGCTGCCCGCCCACTGACCAAACACAAGCTTCCAAAAGGCAGGGCCTGCTCACACCAGAGCCACCGAGCCCCTGAAGAGATCTGCTGGCCAAGGGAAGGGTGTCCACAACCGGCCCACAGGGGCCACTGTCCCCACCTGGGCTCCCGAGGCCCAGCCTAGGCTTGGCCAGCTGCCAGGGCAGTGACACGCACCCTGTGATGGCCAGGCAGCCCAGCCAGGTGCCCGAAGGTGCTGCCCTCAGGCCAGGCCAGCGGCTTCCAGACATCGCCCGGCGACCCCCTGCATCAAATTCCCAGGGGTCAGGATGGGGCCCTGGCATCACTTCTGCGTGAAAAGTTTGCCGATCACCCAAAAATCCAAGGAGGGAAAAGAAACCCTGCTGCCGGACAAACTACCCTCAATCTGGGCATGAGCCCCCGCCAGGAAGGTTGGAGGGGGAGAGATGGGGAGCAGCCTCCCCTGTGTCTCACTGGCCAGGAAGGACACAGTCCACCCAAGGCCACGCTGGGCTTGGCACCCGTGGATGGGGACAGTGAGGGGCCCCGAGACGTGGGCCACTCAGCCGGGGACGGGGCGGGGGGACACTCTGGTACTCACAGGGTCCCTGAGCTCCTCGCTGTCCCGGGGCGAGGTCCGAGGGATCTTCAGGGGAATCTCGTCTCCGCATTCGGTGTCCGAGGCGTTCGGAGACTCGGCTAGATCGAGGAAGTCATCTCTCTTGTGACCTCTGAACCTGATTTTGTCCAGCTTCCTTAGCATGTTCAGCACTGAGGCCCTCTGCTTCACCTTAACATGACGCTCGGAGTCCCTGCAGGACAGCAAGGGGGGGGCAAGGTCCCGTGGTCAGTCACCTGCTGGCCGCCTGCCAGTACACCATCCCCTACAGACAGCTCCAGGCCCCAGCCCAGGGCCGCCACCCAGCCCTGCCGTCAGGGAGCAGCCAGTCCTGCTACTCAGGGACCCTGGGGCACACAGGCTTCCCCCCTGCCAGAGAGGCTAGGGCCTCGGGTACCCCCACCCAGCTGGGCTGCTAACTGGGCTCGGGCCCCTGTCGTCAGGCCAGCCTTCTGCACCCCTCAAGGGAGAAGGGAGCCCTGTTTCTCAGTGGGACTCCCAGCATCAAGAGGGGGCAGCCTGGAGCTGCAGGGCAGCCGCTGACCCCGTGGGGGTAGGGGGCACTGCGGTGAGAAGGACGGAGGGCTGACCCTCCCGAGCTCCAAGAACCCGTCAGGAAGCACAGACGCATGCCCACCCAGGACTCTGGGTGTCACACTCCCTCTGGACCCCGTCCCCTCCCTCCACCTGGCCCCGCTCCCAGGCACACGGCCAGGCTGCCCCATTGGCCCGAAACGCCATCCTGCCCACCTGGGTGCCCTGACTCAGCTCTCGGGACCAGCTCAGCCTCACTGGGTCCCAGAGGTCTTCCCAGCACAGTCCCCAGGCTGCAGGCATGGGATCCCCTCAGCCAGGAGCGAGGGCGGCAAAGGCCGGGCGTGGGGTCATGCTGGGGGCGGGGGGAACGATGTGTGCTGGTAGGGAGGAGATGTGTATGTCCAAGCTCGCATGCACACCAGGGGTGGATATGCAGTGGGGCACCCACTCCCCACATCTCTGACCCAACCCCAGGAAAGCCTGGGGGTGGGGTGTGGGCAGCCCTTCTGGACGTCCAGTCAACCTCACGCTGAAGTCCACGGCCCCAGCCCTGGTCACACAGCTCCCCGGCCCCCAAGGTCTGCAAGAGGCCCTGGTTCCCCACGGGACAGAAGCTCTGAACGTGCTCAGGCTCAAGCCCTCCACTTCCCACCGTTCTGAGCCCCGGCTTCCTCCTCTGAAACAGAATGAACACCAATGGGAATGAGCACCAATCCGGCAAGAGGATCCCAAGAGCTCGAGACGACACCCGGGCGCCAACACTCAGCCTAGATGCAATAAACAGAGCGGAGACGTCGCGCAGGGTGGGGAGGAAGCAGGATAGCAGGGCAGGACCCGCCTCAAGCCGCCCCGCGGGAACAGTCCACGCAGAGCCACGGCGGCAGGGAGGAGCGCTCTGTCTTGGATGGTGCGGGCTTGGGCCGTTAGACCTCGGCAAAGCACCGCCCAGGACGCCCGGCTGCAGCCCTGCACGCCTGCCCCGCCCTCCAAGGGCCGCCGCCCCTGGCATCATCGCTCCAAACAACACAGCCTGCGTGCAGTGGGCGCCCGCGAGACCCGGGTCAGGACGAGCCGGGGCCGGCTCTGGTCTCCACAGACAGCTGAGGCCGTGCCCGTCGAGGGTGGGGCTGGAGGTGCTCCTGGGACAGGGGCTTCTCGGGCTCTCTGGAACCCTGAGCTGGCCCGATGTGGCCCCATCTGGCAGGATGGGGGCAGGAGGCCGGCCATCCAGTAAGCTATCCCGTGAAGGAGCTGTGACCTCCAGATGAACTAAAAGGTTAAGTAAACTTAAAAAAAAAAGAGAGAGAGAGACTTAAGTTTCTAAGGGGAGGGAGTGATGGTCTACATTAAGAGACTGGGGGAAAAAAAAATCAAAGTTCAAAAAAAGAACCTCAACCACACAAAAGTAAACTGACATTTTGTTTAAAAAACACAGTGAAACAGGAGACACATGGAGCAAATCGGGTCTGTGTGAACTCGTATCTCTGTTGTGAGACAACTTGCATGAATTGGTAAAGACTAGAGGACCCTGGTACACAGATGTGCAAACCAGCCCCCCACCACCCCGAGCAGAGGAGGAATCTCAGCAACAGGGGTCACCCGCTCCTCGTGCAGAAACCTCTAACTTCACCAAGAAGGAAAAGAAGCCAGCGATGTGACCAAGGCCGCAGGCAGCAGGGACACCAACGCCCTGGGAACCAGTGGGTCCCCGTCTGGAGATGCGTCCCAGGGCAGATCCGGCGTGGGGAGCATGACTGGGCTGCACTGTGGCCAGCCGGGAGCTCGGGAGCCACGCGCAGGGCGCACGGACGTCCCCGGGAACCTCAGAGTGGTGACCAACGCCGCTGCCCTGAGGTCACCGCTACGGACAATGGGCGTCTGCACCCCCACAGGTGACACGGGCCCCTGGGTGGAGCTCCTGGGAGGCTGCAAAACTCCTCTCCACGTGCTCTTTCCAATTGCTTTTCTAACTTGAAAAATAAAAGCAAACGGGATGGGAAGCGCCTCCAGGTAAAACCTCCTTCCTTCCATTTTCAAAAAGACCCCGGGGGGACCCCTCCTCACCCAGCACAGGGCAGAAGTGGGGCAGAGGGCGGGGGGGGGCGGGGCAGGGGTCCCCGCAGCCAAGCCTCCCTCCTCGCCATTCATCGGTGGTCCTGGGACTCCCAGCCCCGCAGGCCAGGGCTGCCTTCCCTCCGGACTCAGCAAGCAAATGAAGAGGCCACCAGGGAAGGGGACAGAGCACCGACGGTCTGCCGCGCCACCGTCAGGATGCTGCTCACAAGCGCCCAGCCCACGCGCCCCCCACCCCACCCAGCAGGGCCCCTCCTTGCAGCGCCAGCTCATCTCAACATCTGCCCTTGGGGAGGGCAGGGGTGTCCCCACCGCCCTGCCCCCAGGCCCCTGGGCTCACACAGCTGCCGGACCAAGACCAGGTGCCAGGACACCTGACCACTGCCCCGCCCCCCACTGCCAGGCGGGTCTGGGCTGGGAGGGGCACTCTGCCGTCACCCACACCCCCAAGGCTGAGAGGTACCACCCCAGGACCATCTCAACTACACCGGCTGACCCAGCCCTCCCCAGCTTTTGAGATGACGATGGGAGACTGGCACGGCCGTGGTCCACGGCCAACGAGGGGCGCCGGGGCCAGCCAGGCACGAAGCACGACCCAGAGCAAAGCTTTCCCGCAAAACCTCCCTGCAAAGCCAGTGTCACGGACGCCGTCTCACAAACCACCCGGCTCTTTCCGTCTGGGTGCGGCCACATGTCCCGCCCTGCCCCAGCCCCCGCCCAGCCTCCCCTTTATGCACCAGCCCCTGTTCCCTGCACACCCACCCCGCACTCCCCAGGGCCCATGGGGAAGAAGCCTGCATCCACAGACCAGCCCGTCCTGTGCACCCACAGGCCCCGGCAGCTCCCCGCACGCCCAGCCTTTTAGGCGCAGCCACCCTCAGAGTGGGACGTGGCGCCCCGGCCCCCGAGGCTCCTGGAGGGGCCCCCTTGTACCTCCATGCAGAAGCAGACGCTCCGAGCGGTGACAGCTGCCAGGCCATGCGGCCGTGGAGGCGGGACGGGGCAACAGGACAGGGGGTGCCCGGCGCAGGGGCCGGCCACCGCCCCCACTCGGGGCGGCACCCACTGCGCTGCAGGGCCTCGGGACGCCGGAGCGAAGCCAGTGCCGGCCCCGGGACACAAAGCACGCTGCTCTGGAAACGCGCTGCATGGCTCCCGGGCACACAAAGGCCGCACTGTCTGCGGAGCGCTGGGCTCGGACGCCACAGAGGATGTCAGTCCCCCCACCAGCCTGAGACTCAGGAAAAGCGGTCCCCAGCCTGGCGTGCGCCACGCCCCAGGTCCCAGTCGTGCTCCTCGCCACCCCGGCCGCCCTCAGACAGCCGGCTCGGCCCGGGGCCTGGCGTCATCCTCCCGCCATCTGGCGGCCCTTCCGCTGACCCCAGGATAAACAGCGTGTTTCCCCAAACGAAGCAATCCTCGTCCTGAACTGTATTCCGGGGAGTCACAGAGGTCGAGCGAGGCCAGCCCCAGCCAGGTCTCCGCACGTCCCTGCAAGACGTTACCCAGGACCCCAACCTGCACGCAGCTCCAGCCAGCTGGCTCCCCCGACCTCGAGGCTGGTAGGGCAGCCACCCCTCTCACCCAGATGCATGCCTCAGTCGGCGGGACCCTGGACACTCAGATGCTCAACTGACTCCCTGCCCACCAGCCTCCCGTGCCTGGACTCTGGCTGCTGACCTACTGTGTGAGGACGCCCATCAGTAGCGGGAGCCTCCGTGGACCTCCCCCCATGACACCTGAACACCAGCCACTCAAGTCAAACCCAGAAGGAGCCCCCGACCACGTGACCATGGCCACCTACAGCAAGCCCAGCCCCCCCAAGCCAGGGCTCCCCACCTCTAAGCCGGGAACCACCACCCCTCCAAGCTGGGGGGCCATTTCTAAGCCAGGGCTCCCCACCTCCAAGCCAGGGGCCCCCACCTCCAAGCCAGGGGCCCCATCTCCAAGCCGGGGGCCCCCATCTCCAAGCCAGGGCCCCCCACTTCCAAGCCAGGGGCCCCCATCTCCAAGCCGGGGACCCCCAACTCCAAGCCAGAGGCCCCCCCAAGCTGGGAGCCCATCTCCAAGCCGGGGACCTCCACCTCCAAGCCAGGCCCCACAGCCGTGCTCCCCCCCCACCTCTGAGCCGGGTCTGGCCCACACACCTCACACAGTCTGCAGCAACCCGCTGAGACCCCTCCTGGGGCTCTGCCTGCTCCCCGACACTGGGCTCCAGCCCTGCTGACCCCTTGGGGGTCCTCTCACCACCACACTGGTTACCGCGGGGCCCAGCACTTCCCGGTCTGGGGCATCCCCATAGTGGCTCCTTCTGCTCCAAGTATATCCTCCCACCCCAAACTCCACCTGCCAGTCTGGTCTGGAGTCCAGGCTAGCTCCCTGGTTTAGGATTTGTCCCCCAGCCCAGAGGGCAGGTCCTGCAGGCACTGGGTCCATCCCAGCAGGGCTGGCCAGGGCTAGCCGTTCAGTGAGGGAGGGGACGGTGCACGAGGCGGGGCCCCCACCACTGGGCCCTGGTGCCAGGAGGGCCAGGCCTGCCCGCTGGAGCCGCCCAGCCACAGGGGCCTCACGGCAAGGCCGTGG